GCGACTTTTGGCGATTTTTCCTCAAAATTCATTCAATTTAGGCAATTGACAACAAAGATCAGACAAGCAACGGCAAGCAGTGCTATAACTGGTCAGTGTTGACTTCAGAATGGAGAAATGTCATATGACAAGCTTGATATGATCCTGGTGTTCTACGGCAACCTAGACTAGAGTACAGCAACTCGTTTTATACGGCGCTTGAATCATATGCGACTGCGCGATCCAGAATGGGTCTTTCTTTTTTCTTGGGCGCCTCGTAAAGCTTGAATCCTCCAGCAGCCCTACCTACTTCAAGACAAAACCATGTGATGGACAGTGAGGATGCCGAGTAACTGGAGTAGCAACCACAGCAACTGCATCGGCTATAATAGCAGCCAGTGCAGTGGCAGCGGTTGGCTCACTGTGCTCGGCGCATCCCGGGTTGAATCATCACTGGCCGCACGCGTACGTACGTACGCGGCACAGGTAAAGTCATATTCATAGAGAATGCAATACAGCTCATTCTCTGATTTGGACACTCACTGGCAAGACAATCCAGCTGCCAAAATAGTCTGAAGCATTCCCTAAACAGCCGAGTGCATACTGCGTACCGGTGTACGTCCGCATGAAAATTCAAGAAACAATCGGCTGTGCAATTTCTGATAGTGGTTCAAAATTGCACAATTGTTGACTATTCGGGATTATTCTGGATTCATATTAGATAGCAATCACCATCCTGTAGGTGCCTGGCTCTGTACTCAACATACAATACTTACATGTATGCACATCTCTATTGTGATCTGCATGCATGTCTGACCAGTACACTTGATTTCAAATTCAAATATTTTCAAAAATCTGACCTTCAAATTGGATCGCATTTTCTTGAGGAACTTCAGCAAACGGGCTCACGACAGATAGCTCCTGCTCAGAACACCATGCCTAGGTGTCAGAGACTTCAGCATCGCTTTCCAAATCTCTTTGGTCTCCAGCATCCCCCCCCTGCGTCTGAGCCAGCTGCGATCTTTTGAATAGCAGCAAATTCGTAATCCTCAGAAAACGACTCCGACACAATTTCGCTGTCTCCAGAATCATCCTCAGAGTCATTACCCGCCTCACACTGCTTCACAGGACTCCTTCCATCGACACAGAGTAGTTGAGCTACTTACCTTGCCGAGAAACAGCAGGGCAAGATGACGAAAACGAACTTGGAGCAAAACAATTTATTTGAACGATATGCCAAAATACGCACTTCAAACTCGATGCTCGCGGCGGTTCTGCTGTGCAGACTGGCCACATACGCTGCGTACACGTCGATCAGGTCCTTCAGCCCACTGAGGAACAGTTCCAGGCCCCACTGATGTTGAGGCATCAGTACAAACGCGACGTACACCGCGGACGTATATATACGTCGTCAGTGGGGCAGGTGCACACGTCATGACGTATATATACGTCGACAGTGGTGAAAGGGTTATAGTCGATCGAAGTGAAATATACTGTCAAGAGTGAATAGTTGTCCTCTTGCCGTGTGGTCGTTCGTTCCTGACACTTTAGAGAACCAGAGGGTTCACAACATTTGGCGACCACGCCAGGATACGAAGCAAGCATGGCACAGGAACTATGGATCATTGAAGCCAGCTTTATCGCTAGCGGAATTCGGTATTGATTTGAAGGCGATAGCTTGAGAGAATACGTGGAGAAGAGGCTCTGACAGTGCGAGGAGTTTGAAGAGCGCAGTACTAGACGGCAAGAGGGTGCGCTCCGCACAGAGTTTAACGAAAAGCTCAAGAAGATGAACGAGCGCATCACCATCAGTACATATGAGGAAGCAAAGCGAGATTTGCTTGCCTCGCTCGGAAGGACGCCGGACAAGGCGCGCAAGACGTTACTTACATACAATCAACGGTCAGAGGAGTATTTGAAGCCAGTGGGAGGATCAGACCCAAGGCCCACTGCGTCGGTGCAGTGCATGGCGACATCGGTCGGAGACGCTCAGAAGCAGCTGAAGTCTCGGCCGAACGACGTGGAAGCGCAAGACGTAGAAGCGCAATACGTAGAGGCGCAAGACGTAGAGGCGCAAGACGTAGAGGCACAAGACGTAGAAGCGCAAGACGTAGAAGCGCAAGACGTAGAGTTGCAAGACGTAGAGGCGCAAGACGTAGAAGCGCAAGACGTAGAAGCGCAAGGCGTAGATGCTAAGAAAATGAGAGGGACGATACTGGTTAGCACAGAAGAGGTCAACGGCGAGATGGTGGTGAACACAGAGATCGGATGTGTGTCCTCGGGTTCCGCGCCCGCCTGGGTCGAAGCAGTGTACCGGTGACCGTGTCGTGTGTGACAGCCCACATCAGCAAGCTTGGTGAAATTATCGGTTGTGTGTTGTCTGGTGCAGCGTCCGCCCCACATCGAAGTGGACCGGTAACCGTGTCGTGTGTGACAGCCCACAGCGGCAAGCTTCGCGAAATCGAGTTGACCGAAGTGGTGGGCATTAGTGATATTCTACCATGGCCACCACCGCAGCAGCAAATGACGCGTAGTAAGCCCCAAATCGTTTGACTTGCGAGTTGTTGTACGGCGGTGAGAAGCCCTTTGGTGGAGAGAATGTTGCGAAACCACAAGTTCCGAAGAGTGAAAGGCCTTCTCGCTTGTGACATTGTGTTCGTTTCAATGCAGTTGTATCCCGACTTCGCCGTACCGCTGATGTTTACGACGTGGTATACGCTACATGCGCTATGTGCGGTTTTGCTGTGTGCGCTGTTGTTGTATGTGGTATGTGTGTGCTTTTCTCATATACGCTGTCATTTTCACGCTATAACTACCTGGTGGTTTTAGTGTTAGTTATTCATTGTTAGGCCACCCTTTGTTAATTCATTGTTTAACGTCCTTTTTTTCGCGAAAAGGTACGCGGGGGGGGGGGGGGGGGGGGGGGGGCGGAATAAAAAGCCCATTCCAAAAACTGGAAATCCCAATCAAACATTTTGACCAGTAAAGCATGTGATATATACAATATTTCTGGGTCTTACGGCACTTGCAGGCATAGAACAACACTCTTTGATGGTACATTGGAGCACATGCCTGATGAATCCAACAAAACAGGTACATAGCATGGAGTTAGCATGTCATGAATTCATTACATCTGGATTTTTACTAGGACACACACCGTACGATATTTAAAAGCCAACAAAAAAAGAAAAAGAACACAAAACAAAGGCATGCCCGGGAGGCAAGATTATAAGTTTAAGGTCATGATCGGCACACTGTGAAACTACACAATCATGTATTTACAACTTCGCATATTATTGGTACTACTACTTTCTTGTTTTTTTTTCCGGTCGGATGCACTTCGCTGACCGTACGCGTGGGGAATGGAAGCAAACTTTTGAGCTCCGATAGTGATATATTTTCTGCAGAAACTGGCTGGAGTGCGTGTAGAATTGTTATAAAGATGTCTAGAATCTGTTCCATTCAGCTGAATGAAGGGTGGTCCTCGAAGGATCATGCCTTTTTCATCAGACTTCTTCTGTCAGGTGGTGTAAGACCTGATGATATCAAGCAGGTGGATCTGAGTGGAAGGCGCGGATTCTGTAGAGTTTCGTTTTCTTTCACTGCCGTTAGGGATGAGGTGTTGTCCAGAGGGTTAGAATTTGAAGGAAAACAACTAGTATTAGTAGTTGGTGATGGAGCAGTTGTGTCCGTGCATATATTTGGTGTGGCGGATGACACCCCACTGTCCGCCATTACGTCCGCGATGGAGAAATTTGGATCCGTCATTGGTGTTCCGAAGCGGGAAACAAAGGCTGTCGAAGGCTGCACCTTCACAACTGGTACTACATTCGTAAACTTAGTACCCACAGCTATCGTACCCTCCACCATCATGTTGTCTGAGTCCCGTCAGAAACTGCGCGTTTGGCACAGGGGTCAAGTTCCCACGTGATACAAGTGTGGCTCCAGTACTCATATCGCCAAACTCTGCACCCACCAGGCCAGGAGGCCCAGTCCGTACGCTGATGCAGCAGCCAGCGCGCTGAAGGGTACATGTACTCAGGGCCAGGCCCAGGGGACACTGGATGACACAGTGGGTGAAAATTCAGAACCAACAGTGAGTACAAGCCGGTCAGCAAGCAGTACAGCTTCAGCACCTGAAACTGGGACACCTCAAGTTTCTTCACCTAGTCAGGAATCAGCCAAACCAGACCAGCTTAACAAGGAGCTGGGAACTGCTCACTGCCCTCCAGATGACAAGGGAGGCTTTATGGTGGCCAAGGGACGGAAAACCTTCAGAGTGCAAAACAAACTTGTTGACTTTTCAGGAAATGAGCTACTGACCGACTCGGACATGGAACAGGAGGACATGGTCATGGGTAACAACGAGAGCAACGACCGGCATATGACAGTTGGCGAACTCACCATATCGTATTAGATCATGACCAGTGTAGCTTTCTTAAATGTCTGTAGCCTTAGGAGAAAAGTAGCAGAAATTGAAGACTTTATCTCAACCCGTGGAGTACACATCCTAGGCGTTGCGGAAACTTGGCTGTCAGCCGATGTAACAGACGGAGAAGTAAACATTCCTCATTTCAGTGTGTTCCGCAAAGATCAGGAAGGCAGGCAAGGAGGCGGTGTTGCCTTCTACTGTCATACGTCCTTGCAAGTCCGTCGAAGACGTGACCTCGAGTGTGAGCTGGAGATGCTGTGGCTGAAGATTCTAGCCCCAGGTCGACCAGGCAATGAGACGGTTTTACTGGGCTGCTGCTATCGACCACCTAGTGAATCTGCGGGCTACTGGGATGGGCTGGAGTCAAACCTAGAGACTGCCTGCAGTGGACCGCAGACCACAACTGTGCTAGTAGGAGACTTCAACGTAAACTTTAATGATGCCCATGCTGTGACTCCTTTGCATCATGTACTCAACCAGTTTAACCTTCGCAACCACGTCACATCTCCTACCCGAGTAACCAGCAGTACTGCCACACTACTGGATCTATTCTTGTCTACCACCCCCATCCAGGGTGTTTGCGAGACCATACATTTGGATATCAGTGACCACTCTGCAATACTTGCCAGGCTGCCAATTTCAGCAAGTCACCACTTGAAGGGACAGCATCTGCGCAAGACTCGCTGTTTGCACAAAGTGGATTGGAATATGTTTACATGTGACCTGGAGAAGACGCTAACTACCTGTGACTCTGTCTGTGTGGATATGCTTGCGTCGTCACTCACTGCGGGAATCCAGACCACTCTAGACAAACATGCTCCACTTCGGGAACGGCGCCGCAAATCTCGACGCCCTTGCCCCTGGATTACAGATGAGTTAGTGGCAAGTGTTCGTGAACGGAACCGGGCGCATCGTCTCTGGCTCCGAGACAAAACCGATCAGAACCTTCAAGAAGCACACCGATCAGCTTGCTCCAAAGCACGGAAGTTGGACAGGAGTCTGCGCAACTTGTACTTCACTAAGAGATGTGATACATCAGATCAACGGCAACTTTGGGCTGTCATGAACGATGTCACAGGCCTACAGAAGACACGGAAAGAACCTGAAGCGCCGCTTGAGTCACTCAGTAAATTGTTTGGAGACATTGTGCATGACCCTATGCGGCCACCTGAGCTGCATATACCACATGGTCCAGCCTCTGCATCTAGCTTCTCAACATTTCAGCCGGTAAGCGTGTCTGATGTTGCACAATGCTTGCAAACTGTGAGTCCTCACAAAGCATCTGGGAGTGACAACATTCCTGGAATTGTACTGCAGCAGTGTTCAGATGCCCTGGCACCTCCATTTACCACCCAAGTCAATGCATCCTTGACATCAGGTACTGTGCCAGTGTGTTTTAAAACATCACACATTAGTCCACTGTTCAAGAGTGGCGATGCAACATCCCCTACTAACTATAGACCAGTGTCATTGCTCCCTATTCTGTCCCGGATTTTGGAGTTCTTTGTAAAGAAGCAACTCACAGCATACCTCACGCAACATAGCATATTACCTAGCAGTCAGTTTGCCTACAGGAAAATGCACTCTACCGAAGATGCATTAGTTCTAGCCGCCAACCGTTGGCTGTTGGCCAAACAAGAGCGAAAATACACAGGTATTGTGATGGTTGACATGTCAAAAGCGTTTGACCGTGTCCAACATCAACGTCTGATTGATAAACTATTCACCCTGGGAGTCAATGGCAGAGTATTGTTATGGTTGGCTAGCTATCTGTCTGGTCGTACTCAGCGTGTCAAGGTGTGTGAGGCTCTTTCTGATGCAGTCCCATGCTCAAGAGGTGTGCCCCAAGGCAGTGTTCTTGGGCCGCTTCTCTTTGTCCTTTACACGAGTGACATTTCCGACGTCATACCTTGCATTGTTGTTCATCAGGAGTTCGCGGACGACATCATCCTAGATTATTCTGATTCAGATCTGGACACTGTTTGCAAGACGTTGACTACGGCTGTGACACGTCTGTCTGACTGGCTCTCCGAAATTGGGCTTCTGCTGAATACCGGCAAAACCCAAGTCATGGTAATTCAACCTCGGGGACTCACTGGCGACATACCAGTCGTAAAATGTAAGGATCAAGCCTTAACTGTTACCTCCACTGCCAAATACCTTGGCGTAACCATTGATGACCAGCTATCCTGGCAGCCACATGTCTCCAGTGTTGTGCAGAAGGCGTCAGTCGCCATCAGCCAGCTATGGCGCCATGGGCGATCTCTGCCCATAAGAGCCCGCAGACTTTGGTACATTGGCATTGTGCAAGCACGACTAACGTACGCATCCAATGCATTCTTCCCGTCGCTGACACAGCAGCTGCAGAGTCGTTTAATCAAATCCAGCAAATCCGGAATTCGTGCAATTTTCCGACTCTCCAGCCGTGCATCCACAGCCCCCCTCCTCGTGCGCTTATCTATTCGATCCCTAACTCACATTTTTAACTACAAGGTTTTGTTTTTGTTTTCCGTTGCCTACATGATCTTGCAAGTCCTCTTTTCTGCACCTACTTTCAGTTGATGGCTAACACAGGCCAAGCATCCCGGGATGATCGCCGAATTACTCGAGGACAGGAGCAGCGGCTACTGCAAGTGCCTTTCCTTCCTGGACCTTCCGGTCGTCAGTCATTGACATTTGTGGGAAGCACTCTTTGGAATGCCCTTCTCAGCGATATTTGCCTCCACAGTGCGGCGGTTGCCTTTAAACTGGCTCTGAACAGAATTAATTGTAATTTGTAACCACCTTGCTCGGCATCCCTACACATTACTGCATGTTTTCTCGGTGTTTTCTTCACTGCATGCTTACACATACACACACCCATTTGAATTATATACAAACTTTGTGCTTTGGAATTATCATGTTATGACTATTTTTAATATTTCCTTCTCTCATAATATTATATTCGTTCTTAGCAGAAACCGGAGGTTTTTCCTCTGGTGAGAAGGCAGAATTGCCTGTGCTCTAAACGAATTCAAATAAAAGAAACAAACAAACAAACAAAAAAAGGATGCAAAAAGGTACGCGGGCGCGGACGTTAAACAACGAAAAAAAGAAAGGGTGGCCTTATAGTCGATCGAAGTGAAGTATACTGTCAAGAGTGAGTAGTTGTCCTCGTGCCGTGTGGTCGTTCGTTCCTGACAATTTAGAGAACCAGAGGGTTCACAACTTCTCATATATATTGGCAGTCTTCTGACGAGCCAGGAGATGTTGAATTAATAATAATAATAATAATAACCGACGAGGAGACAACAGTCGTAAAATAGCAATGAAAAATATCAATTGTGCACTCATAATCATGTATAAACAATTAAAATGAAATAATTCCAGAACGTTTTCGTGTGACCATCATCAGTGGAACATCGTCACATAGTAAGAATCACTAAAACAACCAGTTATATAGCTAGAGTAACAATGCGCCCCGTAAGGAACTGACAATCGGCCCGGCTCCTTGTCGTGTCTTCCTGTGCCTGCCTTGGAAAGGCACGGAGTCGACAAAGGTCAGTCGTATTGTCAAGTCTATTGTCCAGAAGACGTACTATGCAGTGAATGTAGTAACTGTCTTCACCACGATACGTTCGTTCACGGTGTTGAAGGACGTCCTGCCGACCCATCATTTGAGTCACCTCATTTATCATTTTGAATGCCGACAGTGCGGTAGTCGGTATGTTGGCAGGACGCTTCAACACTTGTCCGAACGTATCAAACAACACGTCCCATTGTCCTTGTTGTCAAAAGCGGCCAGGGCAGGCAGGCCAAAGCGTGGGAGGCCGAGAAAACACCCGTTGCCTACTACTACGCCTGTCAGTATTACAACACAACCGGAAACGGATACAACACCGGACTCAACAGTAGCGCAACACACGAATCTGGTGTCACTCTTGACGACAACAACACGGCATGGGAGACCACCGGACGATCGTTCGTTAACAAACCTGACGGCGGTAACGGAAAGATCACCAGGAGAACGAAATGAAAATGGAGGAAAAACGAATCTGAGGAGAAGCCAGAGACTAGCGGAGACACGACTGAGAAAAATGGAGAAGGCGGAACCAGCAGTGGCAGGTGAAAGTACGGGCGCAGCAGTGAACACGTCAAGGAGAAAGAAGCGATGGCATCAGGAGATGGAGATGGAGGATGATGATGGGGATGAACAGGATGGTCAGGAGGAAAGCAAGGGTGAGCGGGAGCAGGAAGTGGAGGATGAGAGTGATACGGACGAGGAGGAGTTCGACATCGACAAGGGCAAGTCTGCCATCTACAAGCATTTGGTGTCCAGTCCGGATTGTCGTAAGTTGTTTGACGATTCCTGGTTTAGTGTTATTTGTCGCGCGCGTTTCTTTAAGCAGTTGCAGGTGTTGGAAGCTGTATATATTCGCACACGTGACCCTGTTCTATGCAAGCAAAAAGAAAATGTTGTAGCACTCACACTTTTTAAATAATACACACTCACCAGTTTTTTGTTCACACGCACTCACAGCTGCCACATTCATCTACTGCTACCATTCTCAGATACACTGCAAAGGTTCACACTACACGCGTTATGCATAACCGCTAGCTGTGCTGCATTCTCACGCTTCTTTTCATGTTACTCTAGCTATATAACTGGTTGTTTTAGTGATTCTTACTATGTGACGATGTTCCACTGATGATGGTCACACGAAAACGTTCTGGAATTATTTCATTTTAATTGTTTATACATGATTATGAGTGCACAATTGATATTTTTCATTGCAATAATAATAATAATAATAATAATATTAACTGGTTTTGAGGGGAAGAGACAAACGGGAAAAGTCTGAAGAAAAAATCGACTGTCACCACCAGGACTCGAACCAGGGACCCTCGCTTGTAGCCAGCGATGCTCTAACCACTGAGCTATGGTGTAGTCGTCATCCAAGCAGAGACCGTTCAACGTTTTCTTCAGACTTCGTAATAATAATAATAATAATAACATTTGGCGACCAATTGTAGTCTGCTCTAGTCATTTTGTCTTTCTCAATCGTTGAGTTACAATTTTCTGCTGCGTCCTCTTGAGAATATCACAAGTCAAACCCGTGCAAATCGGAATAGATCAGCGCGATGAAAAGTCTCAAAATTCTCAATACTCAAGTCGCACTGCATTAGGCCTCGACCAAATATGCTAAAAAAGAGCATACAGTCGTCCCTCTCTAATCCGGCACTTTATAATCCAGCACCCTCGATAAACCAGCACAATTTTCAGTAGCCAAAATGTCCTCTTCATGTACATTGCAGCAGTAAATCAGATTTGTTAATCCAGCACCCTCCCTAATCCAGCAGATTTTCGTGGCACAAATGGTGCCGGATTATAGAGGGACCACTGTATTATGCTCGTCGCATATTAGGGAAAACGTCCATAATATGCCAAAGGCTTAGCAAGATATGCAAAAAGATATGCCAAAATATGCCAAAATATGCTCGACATGAGCAGAAAGTGGAGATCATTTCAGTAAAATTACAACCTTGGAATATATTCATTGGCTTCACGGCTATCATGTTTATGGTGCAAATCAAAACTCGGGTGTTCCAGTTCTCGTACACCTGGAAACATTGCACAGCTATGCAAAATGCTTGACCCTTGCCTACTATAGTACATCATGGTACATGTCAGTGTCATTCCAAATTCAGCCATAAGAGGCATTTCTGAACCCATTTTGTCCATACTAGGAATGTTTTGTCCTCATTTTCTTCAGAATATTCAAATTACATGTATATGCTGGCTTCATTCCAATATTCCCTTTGTCGCTCAATATGCCATAATGAACTGTCTCACAAAAATATGCGGAAATATGCGCAAGCATATTTGGTCGAGGCCTACACTGCATGTTTTCGAAATCACCGCCAGTGCGGCTCAACTGCTGAGCATCATGCGAAATTACGCATTTATTGGCGACATCCACAGAGCCTGCTGGGAGAGAACGCGTATACTCGAGTCTCATCCTGAGCAATTTTTTTCTTCTTTTCTCAACTCCAGTATAGCTGTATTTTTCATTGCAAAGATGTACTTGATTGTTGTGTTCGTTGTTCAAATGAAGTGGACATTGAATCAAGAAGGCAGAGGATCCAGACCCTGATTGGAGTTTCTCCTGGCATAGGACGGTCACACAGAGACACTTTGCGATTTTCTGAATATAAAAATACTGTACGCACGATGCAGAGTTCAATTTGTGCATTGTCAAAATCATTCGTGATCTACCACATCGAGCAGAGCGGGATCCAAACACAAGCTTACCGACAGTAAGGCTGCCGACATGACTAGACAAATGATCCTTGGCTTCACCAGATGCCAGAAGTCAGAAACCAGTCCTTTGCCGCGGCGTCCAACCCCAAAAAGAAATTCATCTTCGTCTAAAAAGGCTTGAAATACTCAATATTCAACCGAGCTGCGCCGTCTCACGCTTTCTCAGATCGAATCCTTTTTTGTTGTTGTTGTAGTTGCAGGGCAGATCCCCACCACTACTTCAACAGGGTTTCGCATGTCTGGAACAAACCATGTCGAGGATTTTGCATGCCTGGAACAAGCCATGTCAAGGTTTCGCATGCCTGGAACAAGCCATGTCGAGGTTGCAAGCTACCCCTCCCAGCAAGAAATTTGAAATTTCAATGTTGGAAGGTATACTACGAAGAGAATTTCAAAATGTATGATTGGCCGCACGATCGTTCAGCCTACATCGTTCATACTTTGCAGGATGGTTTGACCTACATGCCAGGCATTGAATCACATGGTTTGATGTCATAGCTGACACACAAAGTCACACACACACAGCACATTATTGTGCACAGATACTAAATTAGTGGACATCGTCAGCTTCTTCCGACTGGTCCCAAATGTACTATGATGTGCTATTTCGCCTGACGGTGATTTATCTCAAGAACCAATGCTCGCAGCGGTTATCAAATTGGTTCTACCAACAAGTGAGAGTTTCGACCTGGATGTTTAGATTGTTGGATCTGGGCGAAGATTGTCAGAGTTTCAATCTGTTGAAGTTTTGCATTTGAATATGTTGTTTACGATACATTCACAATATCGGGTTAGTATGGTGTCAATCTGGAGAGCAAAGCACGGATACGCAGGTATGACACACTCACCATAGTCAGTGTAGCATTAATTTTGTGTTATCTCCTTCAGAAGAATCATGGCAGAAAATGTGACATGTGAACTGTACGTCCTACATGCCACCAACCACCACCGTCCTATCCATCACCGCCAGTAGCTCAAGCATCAGCTCCAGCATCAGCAGCAGTGATACAAGTAACCCCTGCATAACTATGCAACATCATGAACAACACCAACACAAGGAAAAGCACAAACACGAGCACCAACAACACTATCAGGAGTAAAATCAGAACCACACACTAACCCTAGTTAGTCAACACCATGACAGAATGGGTCTACTCATCGAGAGTACGTAACGTAGAGTGCCATGCGTACTAATAATCAATACGTGATGTACAGAGGTTGGTGTATTTGGCATCAATATGTGATGTACAGTGTTGGGTGTATTTGCACAGTGGTTGAGCATGTGTTGTACTTACAGCTTCGTGATACGGTACAAATCCTTTCTGTAGGAGATGCATAATGTCAGTCTGCAGATCATAACACAAGTACAAAGGCATGGCAAGCTCACGACAGTCAGTAAAGAATTGGTGTTATCTGCCTCACGACAAAATCACGGCAGAGAATGTGCCAAGCAAACTGTAACCCTACGTATATACCACCACGGCTCCATCCATCGTCACCAGTAGCATTAGCCCTAGCGCATGCACCAGCACCAGTAATACAAATACTTGTACCTCTAGTCAACACTAATGTACAGTGTTGGGTGTACTCGTAGTCAACACATGATGTACAGTGTTGGGTGTACTCGTAGTCAATACATGATGTACAGTGTTGGGTGTGCTCGTAGTCAATACATGATGTACAGTGTTGGGTGTACTCGTAGTCAATACAAGATGTACAGTGTTGTGTGTACTCGTAGTCAACACATGATGTACAGGGTTGGGTGTGCTCGTAGTCAATACATGATGTACAGTGTTGGGTGTACTCGTCGTCAATACATCATGTACAGTGTTGGGTGTACTCGTAGTCAACACATGATGTACAGTGTTGGGTGTACTCGTAGTCAACACATGATGTACAGTGTTGGGTGTACTCGTAGTCAACACATGAGGCACAGTGTTGGGTGTACTCGTAGTCAACACATGATGTACAGTGTTGGGTGTACTCGTAGTCAACACATGATGTACAGTGTTGGGAGAACTCGTAGTCAACACATGATGTACAGTGTTGGGTGTACTCGTAGTCAACACACGATGTACAGTGTTGGGTGTACTCGTAGTCAATACATGATGTACAATGTTGGGTGTACTCGTAGTCATCACATGATGTACAGTGTTGGGTGTACTCGTAGTCAACACATGATGTACAGTGTTGGGTGTACTCGTAGTCAACACATGAGGCACAGTGTAGGGTGTACTCGTAGTCAACACATGATGTACAGTGTTGGGTGTACTCGTAGTCAACACATGATGTACAGTGTTGGGTGTACTCGTAGTCAACACATGATGTACAGTGTTAGGTGTGCTCGTAGTCAACACATGATGTACAGTGTTGGGTGTACTCAAAGTCAACACATGATGTACAGGGTTGGGTGTGCCCGTAGTCAATACATGATGTACAGTGTTGGGTGTACTTGTCGTCAATAGATGATGTACAGTGTTGGGTGTACTCGTAGTCAAAACTTGATGTACAGTGTTGGGTGTACTCGTAGTCAACACTTGATGTACAGTGTTGGGTGTACTCGTAGTCAATACATGATGTACAGTGTTGGGTGTACTCGTAGTCAATACATGATGTACAGTGTTGGGTGTACTCGTAGTCAATACATGATGTACAGTGTTGGGTGTGCTCGTAGTCAATACATGATGTACAGTGTTGGGTGATCTCGTCGCGAATACATGATGTACAGTGTTGGGTGTACTCGTAGTCAATACATGATGTACAGTGTTGGGTGTACTCGTAGTCAACACATGATGTACAGTGTTGGGTGTACTCGTAGTCAACACACGATGTACAATGTTGCGTGTACTCGTAGTCAATACATGATGTACAGTGTTGGGTGTACTCGCAGTCAATACATGATGTACAGTGTTGGGTGCACTCGTAGTCAACACATGATGTACAATGTTGGGTGTACTCGTAGTCAATACATAATGTACAGTGTTGGGTGTACTCATAGTCAATACATGATGTACAGTGTTGGGTGCACTCGTAGTCAACACACGATGTACAATGTTGCGTGTACTCGTAGTCAATACATGATGTACAGTGTTGGGTGTACTCGCAGTCAATACATGATGTACAGTGTTGGGTGTACTTGTAGTCAATACATGATGTACAGTGTTGCGTGTACTCGTAGTCAACACGTGATGTACAGTGTTGGGTGTACTCGAAGTCAATACATGATGTACAGTGTTGGGTGTACTCGTAGTCAATACATGATGTGCAGTGTTGGGTGTACTCATAGTCAACACATGATGTACAGTGTTGGGTGTACTCGTAGTCAACACATGATGTACAGTGTTGGGTGTACTCGTAGTCAATACATGATGTACAGTGTTGGGTGTACTCGCAGTCAATACATGATGTACAGTGTTGGGTGTACTCATAGTCAATACATAATGTACAGTGTTGGGTGCACTCGGAGTCAACACACGATGTACAATGTTGCGTGTACTCGTAGTCAATACATGATGTACAGTGTTGGGTGTACTCGCAGTCAATACATGATGTACAGTGTTGGGTGTACTCGTAGTCAACACATGATGTACAGTGTTGGGTGTACTTGTAGTCAATACATGATGTACAGTGTTGCGTGTTCTCGTAGTCAACACGTGATGTACAGTGTTGGGTGTACTCGAAGTCAATACATGATGTACAGTGTTGGGTGCACTCGTAGTCAACACACGATGTACAATGTTGCGTGTACTCGTAGTCAATACATGATGTGCAGTGTTGGGTGTACTCGCAGTCAATACATGATGTACAGTGTTGGGTGTACTCGTAGTCCACACATGATGTACAGTGTTGGGTGTACTCGTAGTCAATACATGATGTACAGTGTTGGGTGTACTCATAGTCAACACATGATGTTCAATGTTGCGTGTACTCGTAGTCAATACATGATGTACAGTGTTGGGTGTACTCGCAGTCAATACATGATGTACAGTGTTGGGTGCACTCGTAGTCAACACATGATGTACAGTGTTGGGTGTACTCATAGTCAACACATGATGTACAATGTTGGGTGCACTCGTAGTCAATACATAATGTACAGTGTTGGGTGTACTCATAGTCAATAAATGATGTACAGTGTTGGGTGTACTCGTAGTTAACACATGATGTACAGTGTTGGGTGTACTCGTAGTCAATACATGATGTACAGGGTTGGGTGTACTCGTAGTCAATACATGATGTACAGTGTTGGGTGTACTCGTAGTCAACACATGATGTACAGTGTTGGGTGTACTCGTAGTCCACACATGATGTACAGTGTTGGGTGTACTCGTAGTCAATACATGATGTACAGTGTTGGGTGTACTCGTAGTCAATACATGATGTACAGGGTTGGGTGTACTCGTAGTCAATACATGATGTACAGTGTTGGGTGTACTCGTAGTCCACACATGATGTACAGTGTTGGGTGTACTCGTAGTCAACACATGATGTACAGTGTTGGGTGTACTCGTAGTTAATACATGATGTACAGTGTTGGGTGTACTCGTAGTCAATAAATGATGTACAGTGTTGGGTGTACTCATAGTCAACACATGATGTACAATGTTGCGTGTACTCGTAGTCAATACATGATGTACAGTGTTGGGTTTACTCGTAGTCAATACATGATGTACAGTGTTGGGTGTACTCGTAGTCAACACATGATGTACAGTGTTGGGTGTACTCGTAGTCAACACATGATGTACAGTGTTGGGTGTTCTCGTAGTCAACACATGATGTACAGTGTTGGGTGTACTCGTAGTCAATACATGATGTACAGTGTTGGGTGTACTCGCAGTCAATACATGATGTGCAGTGTTGGGTGTACTCGTAGTCAATACATGATGTACAGTGTTGGGTGTACTCGTAGTCAACACACGATGTACAGTGTTGGGTGTACTCGTAGTCAACACATGATGTACAATGTTGCGTGTACTCGTAGTCAATACATGATGTACAGTGTTGGGTACACTCGTAGTCAATACATGATGTCCAGTGTTGGTAGTACTCGTAGTCAACACATGATGTACAGTGTTGGGTGTACTCGTAGTCAATACATGATGTACAGTGTTGGGTGTACTCGTAGTCAACACATGATGTACAGTGTTGGGTGTACTCATAATCAACACATGATGTACAGTGTTGGGTGTACTCGTAGTCAATACATGATGTACAGTGTTGGGTGTACTCGTAGTCAATACATGATGTACAGTGTTGGGTGTACTCGTAGTCAATACATGATGTACAGTGTTGGGTGTACTCGTAGTCAATACATGATGTACAGTGTTGGGTGTACTCGTAGTCAATATATGATGTACAGTGTTGGGTGTACTCGTAGTCAACACATGATGTACAGTGTTGGGTGTACTCGTAGTCAATACATGATGTACAGTGTTGGGTGTACTCGTAGTCAATACATGATGTACAGTGTTGGGTGTACTCGTAGTCAATATATGATGTACAGTGTTGGGTGTACTCGTAGTCAACACATGATGTACAGTGTTGGGTGTACTCGTAGTCAATATATGATGTACAGTGTTGGGTGTACTCGTAGTCAACACATGATGTACAGTGTTGGGTGTACTCGTAGTCAATATATGATGTACAGTGTTGGGTGTACTCGTAGTCAACACATGATGTACAGTGTTGGGTGTACTCGTAGTCAATACATGATGTACAGTGTTGGGTGTACTCGAAGTCAATACATGATGTACAGTGTTGGGTGTACTCGTAGTCAATACATGATGTGCAGTGTTGGGTGTACTCATAGTCAACACATGATGTACAATGTTGGGTGTACTCGTAGTCAATACATGATGTACAGGGTTGGGTGTGCTCGTAGTCAATACATGATGTACAGTGTTGGGTGTACTCGTAGTCAATACATGATGTACAGTGTTGGGTGCACTCGTAGTCAACACACGATGTACAATGTTGCGTGTACTCGTAGTCAATACATGATGTACAGTGTTGGGTGTACTCGCAGTCAATACATGATGTACAGTGTTGGGTGTACTCGTAGTCAACACATGATGTACAGTGTTGGGTGTACTTGTAGTCAATACATGATGTACAGTGTTGCGTGTACTCGTAGTCAACACGTGATGTACAGTGTTGGGTGTACTCGAAGTCAATACATGATGTACAGTGTTGGGTGCCCTCGTAGTCAACACACGATGTACAATGTTGCGTGTACTCGTAGTCAATACATGATGTGCAGTGTTGGGTGTACTCGCAGTCAATACATGATGTACAGTGTTGGGTGTACTCGTAGTCCACACATGATGTACAGTGTTGGGTGTACTCGTAG